ATAAAAGTGAGAAAGGACATCTTCATTCCCATCATCCTAACTTACTAGTTGTTTACACATCAGAAGACTGAAACTGAAATATGGTTGGGCAAAGCTTACAGATGTTTTATATTCTCTAAAGTAAAAGAATAAAAGCTATGGTTTTTAATTTTTGTTTTGATTTTCTTATAGGTTGATTTTAATGAACAAAGAGAGAAATATTTCACTTCAGTTCTGGTTCAGAAGCTTGATTCTCTGAGTCATTTTAACTACAGCTGACACTACAAAAACAATTTACCTGAGCTCACCTTTGGTTACTTCCTGTTACCTCTAACTTGGCTAACTCCTCCAGCCACTTACAAAAGCAAAAAAGAAACACACAAAGCAACTCATCATTAGTTACTCCACAAGAACAATGACCTAAAGCACGTCTTCATAAATATTAGTATGTTCTACTTTCATGTGATGAAATAAGACAAAATTCTTTCCTACATGAATCACTTGTTATAAGGAGTAGTAGACAATGGTGCCACATAACTTTTATGAAGTACTTTCTCTTTTTATCATGTGATGACAGCCCGTTCTTATGCACACACACCCAATCTTAAAGTCTTTCGCTTTCAACTTAAGTAGGGTGCAGGTGTTTCAAAATGTTTCACGTTTGACAATACCACAGGTGTACTGAAGCAGCAGTAAACAGTTCCTTACCGAAACAGTGACTTAATGTTTTTAGATACTCTCCACAGATCTTTAAATGACAGTTATTTTTCAAAATGAAGTGACAACAGGAAGGGGCAAATAAAGGTTTTTCCAAAGACAAGACATTGTTACTAGATGTGTAGCTTTCTCCTGGTATGAAGGTACCATCAAAAGTAGCTCAAAAGATGACTACATTAGTCCAGGAAAGTGTGTGTATGGCATGTGTGTGTGTGTCTTTGATGAACATAAGCACAGGACAGTTTGGGTGAGAAGTCCGTCACACCAAGATATCCACTTACTGCATCTAAAACTGCCTAAGAGGCAGGTTTGTGAATTGAATTGTGAATGTGTACTTTACCCCCAATTCCCTTCAAAAAAATACACGGGAAATTACATTGTACATTCTCCAGCAATGGCTACACAAGAAAAACATTTGGGAGAGAACATAGAATTTGCAAAATAAAAAGCCTCACAAATCTGTGTGCCATTCTTGTGCAGGGCCAGGTTAATCCTGTATGTATTGTAATCTGGTCACAGGAATGGCAAGAGTATCAAGGTGTGTTCGGATAGAGTATTTCAGCTTAAAGCATGTGACTGCTTTTCATTTACATGTCGGAATGTCACAGCCACCATGCTAATAAATTCAGAGGGAAGAGTGGCCAGAATTATACACAGGAACTAAAACAGCAAAGTAACATACCGGAAGTATTATAAGAGATAAGAGCATGTAGGCAAGATTGGGCACTACACACAAATCATAGAATAAAGAGTTAGGAAAAATCAAACACTTCAGAATGTTATTTGAAAGGGTTAAAACGTTGAAAAAGTAAAAACAAAAACAAATGGTAACATAGTGAAGTGAAAAACCAATGGAGCAGGAGATGGAGACTAAGGTTCTCTGAATGGTGCAGAAAAATGTGGAGTCAAATGTTAGTGGAAAGGAAGTATTGGGGGAATGTTCAGTAACTAAAAAGCTGTAAAGATTTGTGATAACCTGTGACTGAAATGTAATAAATTTATAAAAAAAAAAAAAGGTTCTAAAACCTATTTCTCTAAAAGCTAAGAGACATTTTACGAATTATCCAAAAAATTAAGAGACTGAACTAAATTATCTCTAAGGTCCTACAGTAATATGATTCTTTAAAGATGTCAAATGCCAAATAAACATACAACTGAATATTCCTGCTCTCCTCTAGTAAGTGTTCTTTCATCCTTCTATGTATTTGTTGATAGTTATGCAGCTGGTTAAGGGGTAGATCATCATAGAACTATTGTTTTCCAAAGTTTTGATTTTCCTTGTAATGTTCCCACTCAATAGGCAAGGATCTTATAAAGAAGCAAATTTTAATTGATATGTTTTTGAAAATAGATTTTCAAAAAATGGTAGCACAGTAAAGTGGAAAAACAGTACAGAGAAATGAATAACTGAAAGTCAATCATACAGTGAAACAGGCGTAGGCTTAAGAATCCCATCTATGTTAGCAATAAAAATGAATTAATTTGTTAATTACACTTCAAATAGAACACTAGTCTATATTCTCAAATCCTCAAGATTGTAGCAAAATAGACATTAAAACAAAAACCACTTACTGCATGGGGAAAATGAACTGGAACTTATATCATTATTCTGAAACAATCACATGCTTATGATGTTATTAGGAATTTTCCACTCAAAATTTCTGTAACTTCAGTGCAAAAATAAAACGATCTCTGTAAGAATATACAAAAAGATGATAACACTGGTTGTCTCTGGAGAGTGGAATAATGTTAGGGTTTGGTGGATACGAGTTGGGAAAGAAACTTTTCACTAAATTCCTTTATATACTTTTTGATTTTGAACTAAATAAAATGCATTGTCTATGAGGAACAAAATTTGTTTAACTGAACACAATACAGTAAAAACCTAAAAGTCAAAATTAATTATTTTTACTCTTCAAAAAAAACCCCAAAAAGACAAGTCAAAGGCTAGGAAAAAAACAGTGCAAATCTTATATCTGATAAAGGGTTTGTACCCAGAACATACAAATAACTCTCAAAACTCAGAAAGAAGATGACAAAAAGTCCACAAGAAAATGTAAAAAGGATTTAAAGAGATATTTCATAACCATGAATAAGTATGTGAAAACACAATATCATGAGTTATTAAGGGAATAAAAATTAAAGCTACCATGTGATGTCACTATACAACTATTAGGATGGCTATAATAAGACAAAAATATATATTGGCAAGGATGTGAAAAATCTGGAACACCCATACACTGCTGTTAGGCCCATAGAATGGTACAGTCACTTTGGAAAAGTTAGGCAGTTTCTTAAAAAAACACTCTTAAACTTACCGTACAAACCCACCTATTCCCCTCCCAATGAAAAGGCATATCTACATAAAACCTGTATGTGAATATTCATAGCATCCTTATTCATAAAAGCTGAAAACAACCCACAAAAAGTGATGCACACAATATTCAATGGAATACTATTCAGCAATAAAAAGGAACTGATACATGCTATAATATAGAAGAAACCCAAAATATTACACTAAGTTAAAAAAACAAGGTTATAGTTTTGTATGATTATATTTATGTGAAATATCCAAAAGAGATGGAAAGCAGACCAGTAGTTGTCTATGGTTAACAGCAGGAGCAGAGATTAGAAGCAAACAAGCACAAAGGAAGTTTTTAAGAATTAAAACTGAATAGCAATAAAGAGAGATTAGGATTCCATGATAGTATTATAATCAACTTTATGTTACTTAGGCCAGGATTTATTAATCATAAATGTTTAAGGGTATTAACACAAAAGAAAGAATTAACTGGAATAATAAGCACACACTCACCCTCACACTGGACAAGAGGATGTTTAAGACACAGTCTATCAGAGCACAAATGATATAAGATCTTAAAATATATTTATAATCTTTTAAAAATGGGAATTAATCAATTTCAATAATTTTGAGCAGTGATCAACGATTTTTTTCATTAATCCCTTTTGGTACTCGTGCTGATGGTATTTTAGATACCCCTTTCCTCTCCTTTTGTTGAGCCTTTGTATATTTTATTAGTGCTAAATACATACAGGAATGCCAGGAAAGGCATATCTGATTAAGGAAAACAGTTATAGTCACAAGCCAAATAACATTATTTTGAGCTCCATATTCTTTGTTTAGTCATTTAGGCTGGAGTATCAACATTCCAACAAATCCTACTCTGTTTCCAATTCTACTTATTAGGCAAACTATTTCTTAGATACTACATGCTTCCTGAACTGTGCAACATAGTTACAAGTGATGTAAGTAATACTGAGCTTACCCCAATCAAGAATGTTAATAAGAAACCGTATTTATTAATGTATTGATGTGTTTACCTTTATGTTAAAGTGATTTTTCTAAAGGATTTAAAGTAGCAAGTTAAAAATTTTTTTTCTATACAATAAATATGAGTATATGTGATATATTAACAAATTCAGTAATATATCACTGAAATTTCTTCTTAGTGACCAATACTAGGACTAGGATTGCAAGTTATTCAGTAAGGAATGGTGATCAAACTATGACACATAGATATGAAGGACCCTAACACTGCAAACTAAAAAAATTGCTCTATTTTTAGAAATTATTTTTAGCTCTATTCTTAATAGTCATTAAGAATTTTTAATGACTAAAACTATGCTCATGTTATATTAGGTGAAAAGACATGGAATTTTATACACACAGGTACAATATACCTCTCAAGTTTTCAACTGTAGTTTTCCTTATGTTGCAACTAAGAAAGAATTCAGCAATTTTTGTTTTCCTTTGCCTATAGGGAAACAATTTTAACCTAAGCTATAAAATGAAGACTACAGAAAAAGGACAGATTCTGTGAGAGTGTACAGTATTGAGTTAATCATTAGATAGCAATAGAAAATTCATATATAATGCTTATCTCTTATTCAGTATTTTGAACTTCAATATCTCATAGGTAAGAAGATACTTTTACCATCTCTTTATTCCTTCAGAATGAAGAAACACAATGTAAAAATAAAAATAATTATTTACCAGAACTGAATTCACCATTCTATAGGACAACAGAAATGTGAAAAGAATAATTTAAAAACAGTGTATTTTAGTTTGTCAGAGAGAGTTGATTCCTTATTTTGTTAGTGTCAATAATTTATAAAACAATCAATATTAAGTGCCTCTGTTTTCAAAAGATATTTCATTAAAAGATAGTGAAAATATCTTCCAAGGTAACTAGTAAATGTTATATATAAATGTTGAATGCTTACATTACCTCGATAAACAAAGAGAAATGAAAAGAATATTTTAATGTTATTGATCATGTTACCTTCAGGAGCAACTGCAGAAGGACAAACTTCTTTCAGGAGATCTCCTAGAGTGTGCAAATGTCCATCTGCAGTCATAGGACGAAAAAGCTTCTGGATGAAAGGCCGTTCAGTTGTTGTCTATTTGAAAAATGAAAAAAATTCAAGCAAATCTTTGTTGCTGCAGATTACAAATTAATAGATCAGAAATGTAGGGTTATCATTAGCTGTGTTCTAATGCATAGAAGCATACAATATCACAGTATCACAAATGTGGTGTTATTGTCAAAATGCTTAACATAAATTCAAATAAAGCTAATCACCAGACTCAGACAAAACTCCTCAAAAAAGTCTAGGTATTAAAATACAATATAAAAAGATTAAAAGCAATCGACAAAACCTAACAACTAAATACAAAACTACCTAAACTAAATACTGAATTGGAGAAGGAAATGGGAAAAAAAAAAGCTATGAAAGACATTTTGGGAATAACTGGGGAAATATGGAATGAACACTAAGTGCTATAATTGACTAATGTCCCATTTCTCAGATGTGATAAGGACAATTCCTTATTGTTAAGAAATTCATGCTCAACTATTTAAGGATGAGACTACATGAATGTCTCAAACTGACCTTCAAATGGTTAAAAAAAAGTGTGTGTGGGAGAGAGATATGCAAATGTAGAAAAATTTTAACTGCTGTTGCATTTAGGTGAAAGGTAGTGGTCTTAGTTGTTTTATTATTTTAGTTTTTCTATATTTGAAAATTTTCATAAATAGTAGCTGTAGTATTTCCTCTGACAATTATTAGTGCTATGTCATAATTTACTGCTAATGGGTTTTTTTTTTTTTTTTTGCTTTCGTTCTTTTTTTAAATGAGAAAAGACCTAAATAAATATTCCACCAAGGAAGTTACTCAAATGGCTAATAAACACACAAAAATGAAGACATGTACATAAATGGTTATAACAGCAGGGCAGGGGGAGTGAGGGGGCACAGGAGGCTGACTGTTCATTCTTTCTTCCAGAGCTTCCTGGGAGGAAGACAGTGTTGGCATACCTTGTACTTAAACAGATCCATATACTGCACAGACCAATCTATCAGGAATAGTTGTAGCAAGGATGATAAAAACAACACTTTTTATGATAAAAACAACACTTTTTATGATAAAAACATCACTTTATGTGATCTATTCCTGGCAACCATGGCATCCTGCCCCAGTTAGGGCGCTGTCATTTTCTTTCTTTTTTAAAAAATTTTGTTTGTTGAGGTAACATTGATTTACAACACTGTTTTATGGATGTAGGTTCAAACCTCAACCAACATGTGCTAACACATCACAACCACCACCAAAGCACCAATAATCCTCCAGCACAGCCTACTGAGTCCCCGTCAACCCTTCATTTTCAGTAGCCTCAGTTCTACAATTCTAAAAAACATTTATCGTATTTATTTATGCATACATGAGCTGGGGTGTAGGTCAGATGTGTGGGAGGTGAGAGGATTCACAAAGACAATGGGGAGCAGAACAGACAGATCTACTAAAATACACTGCTGAGCGGAGTAGCAGGCCAGACAGGAGAGGTCTGCTGTGCCATGTGGGATCAAACTGGCCGCTGGGGATCAAACTCATGCTGCAGTGGCTGCACACAGCTTGACACAGCTTACCCCTTGCACCACAGTCAATTTTTTTTTTTTTTAGATTTATTTATTTATACGAGCACTGGGTACATACAGTCAGAAGCGCGGGAGGGTGAAAGAATTCACCAGAGCCAGAGCAGGGAGCAGAACAGGCAGAAGGACCGAAGTACACTGCTGAGGGGAGCAGCGGGCGGCAGGAGAGGTCTGCGCGCCATGTGGGACCCTCGCTGGTGGCCGGGGATCGAACCGGCGCTGCAGAGGCTGCAGGCAGCTTCGCAGCCCAGCGCTCAACTGCTGCGCCACCGGGGAGGCCCTCACAGTCAATTTTTTTTTAAGGTTTATTTTATTTTGTTTTTGTCTGTTTCTTTTCTTAGTTTTTTTCTATTCCACTAGTGAGTGAAAGCATTCTGTATTTATTGTTTTCCTTCTTACTCATTTAATTTAGCATAATCCCCTCCAGTACTATATCTATGGCAAGCTTTCATCTATTTTGTAGCGGAGTAGTAATCCATTGAATATATATGTGTATATATATATATATATACACACACACACCACATTTTCTTTAGCAATCTTCTGTTCTTGGGCACGAAGATTGTGGACATAACTTGTTTATTGTAAATAATGCTTCAGTGAACAAAGGAGTGCATATATCCCTTTGAATTAGTGTTACTGTATTTTTTTGGTGATACAAAAATATGGAACACTTCACCAATCACATGTCATCCTTGTGCAGAGGCCATATTCATTTTCCCTGTAGCATTCCAATTTTAGTATATGCTGCCTCAGCGTGCACTATTACTAGTAATTTCAATGTTTTCCCCACTTTTAAAGTTGTTAATATTTTTCCAAACTACCTCACAGGAGACAATGCTGATGAGAGCCTCACCATGAGAGAGTGCAGGCTCTGGAAACAACCAGTCTATGAATAGCATTACCACTGATGAGATCTATGATCTTACATATTCATTTTCTTTGGGAATATGGGACATTCCATATCTCTTAAGTTTGTTGTGGGAAGAACTGAAAATTTATGCCAAGCACTGAATAAATAAAGGAATATTAAAGAGATCTAAGATGATAAACTTTTATTGCTAAGATTTCTAAAACAAAAAGTCATAAAAGTCTGTAAGAACAGAACAGTGCCTTACATTTTATAAGAAAATGATTTCAAAAACCTAGTCATTAAATATAAGTTTTTCTTTTTAATCACAGAGATAAGCCACAACTTCAACACAATGGTTACAGATGTGGTGAAACATAATCTGGTTTTAAGGGTGAACACAGACTCAAAAAAAAAAGAAAAACTAGACATGGTATAAGCTACCTTTCCTACCTTTACACTGTGTATTCAGGGATACATAATAAAGATTAAAAATGGTGTAACATAAATACAGCTGAGTGTCTGTGGCAAGGAAAAAAACCCATAGAAAACTAAAATATTGATAATTAGTATGCACTGAATAGCATTCACTAATTGAACTCTTTAGGGATTAATTTTAAGTATGATTATCCTTCAATTAGGAATCTCATACTTTTCACCCAAAATGAAGTGGAGAACAATATAATGCACAATCAACAGTTAACTATGTGAAGATACGATATAGCTAACTCTGTGAAGATAGGGGAGTTCGGAGAAGAAAGGAAAGAGTAGGGGATTGTAGTAATAATTTAAAATAGCTACTACCCAGCAAGGGCCTTCTATCTTTCAGGCAATGAAGAGGCTTTTAAGACTTTTTAGCAAAGGAAGTGACGCGATGAAAGAAGCTTTTTCTGAAAGCTAATGGAAAGCAGCGCTGTGTATGATGACTTGGGTAAGAGGTAACATCAGGATGACTGCTGAGAGGTTGTCTGAATAATGCAAGCCCAAGTGATGACAACTGGGACTGAGTTTATAAAAAAGGAGGGGCAAGGCTATATTCCCCTCGCCAAAGAAACAAAAGTTAATCTGTCCAATCTGAATATACCAAAGTTTTCAGTGAAGTCAAAGAAAGCTTTTTAAGAGTCATTCATCCCTACATAGTGGACAGATCTGTGAGTGGCTTACCTATAATAATTTATTATAATATCCTGAAAACAATATGGCAAACAGTGAAGGCCAAATGGTCTTAACTATATATTAAAAAAAATCTTCTACTACTATTCCTAGAAAAATGGTTTGTAATTTTCTGTACTGCTCTTTTTCCCACTCTCCCCAAATCTGAGCAGTTATAATAAAGGTATATCTTCATCAATTTTTATAAAGATGTTATTTGCTTGGGGTGAGGGGAAAGCCCCAGTACTATTAACATATTCTAATCAAGAAAGTGTTCATCAAGAGCTATTTCTCAGATAACAATAAGCTTATTTTTAAAGAAAAAGACCCAAAATACCCAATCAAAAATCTAATCAACATTTTATTTAATAATTAATAGATTGCCTTTAAAAATTTATATTCTTAAAAAAATTAGTACACTGGAAACTGTCAAGCATCTAAGGCTGATGAAAGATTATGCAAAACACTCATTTCTAGGAGTTACGCTTAAAACACAAGTCCTCCCCAGACAGATCACATTCCAATACATATAGAAGATATAAAGAGCAATGGGAGCAAAGAGTAGACTTCTGCAAATTTCTTAACAGACTTCAATAAACATAAGTTGGAGTTTAGCAGAAAAAGAGTAAATCATGCTAGAAAGTATTTAAAAGCTACCTTGCTTTTGAATATAGGAAGAATTTTAAAATTGCACAAAGCCCCATGAAGATGAATTGTGCAAATTTTGGCTTAGTATACATGAAACCAGACAACACTAACAATATCCATGTCACTGAATCTTAGCCTGACAGACAAGAAAGCCACTGTAACAGGAGTATATCTCAATACTTACCTTGATCTAGACTTTTATTTGTAAATATGTAAGCTACTTCAGTGACTTCCAAGAAATAGCTTTACTCTCTCATGAGAAATAATATGATTCAGTAAAGTTAATTTTGAAACTACCCTTATTACTTTAAAAAGCATATATGTTAGTCATTTCTTAAATATACTGAACAGGGTATAAAATTCTGGTGCTAATGGCTGACTGTTTACCCATGTACCCTTTCTACCCATGTACCCTGACTAGGGAAACATCACTTTTTCTCTATATGGAATTATTTTGGAGAGATATTGAACAGAAGCAGAAGAACCAAATTTAAGCATTTTAAATTAAATTTGTAAAATTTTAGCAAGTCTTATGTATTTAGCAAGTCTTATGTATTAGGAAATTGAAGATGAAGGTTGTTACCTCTATAGTGTGAACTAGGAAATAAAAGAGAGAAAAGGTCTACCTCCAACATACCTCCAAGTAATTTAACAGTAAAGTTGATAAAACAAGAAATGCTGACTTATTCTAGTAGGTTGAAAATTAGACTATGTATGGTCTTTAAGAGTAACAGGTACAACCATTACTACTAAGGTCAAGTTTGATTCTTACTAGTTACATAAGGTACACATTGCAACAAAAAAATGCAAGATAGTAA